TTATTCACGAGAGGAATGCACTTCGGCAAGACTAATAGAATGGTTTTGTTTCGTGCACCTACTTAATTATACACAGAATTGCTTGAGACGGGGGTGGGGGGAGATAATGTTCCGGGCTTATTACACGGAACAAATCTTTGCCATCCGTCCAAATGAAGCGCTTAGCTCTAATCTGTGAAAATCACGCCCTGACATCTCGGGATCATTGTGATGGGATTAGGCAGGCGCTAGGATTTCTCCCAGAAAGGATCTGGTGGGGCTGGAGCCAGATCATACTCAAGGTGTCATTTCAGGCCCCTCCGCAAGGCTGTCGTGCTGGAGGCAGAGAATGCTGTTAAGTTGCAGCCAATTTACAGCGACTCTATAGGGTTTTCACGACAAGCGACATTCAGAGGTGGTTTGCCATTGCCTCTCTTTGCATAGCAGCTCCGGACTTCCATGGTGGTCTCCCAACCACGTACTTACCCTTGCTTACGTTCTAAGACAGTGGTGTCGAACTCATTTGTTACGAGGGCCAGATCTGACATAAATGAGACCTTGTTGGGCCGGGCCATGTGTGTCATAAAAGGCAATGCCAGGTAGCGGAGATATAAACTTTATAAAGAACACAAACACAGAGGGTTTTTTAAAAAACTTAAAACAAAAACATGCTTCAAACATTAGCACTCTTGCAATGTTTTGTTTATTTAACAGTGTCTGATAACTGACACCTCTTGCTCTGAATTATTGCATCAAAATGTCTGTGCTGTTGCAATCTTGAGTATGCTGTTCTGGTGTGTATCTGTAAGCTGCAAACCTACGATGACGCAGCAGAGGCAGAACTGGAAGAAGAAGGAGAAGACAGCCAGTTCCACTGCGGGCCTGATCCGGCCCCCGGGCCGCATGTTTGACACCCCTGTTCTAAGATCTGATGAGATCGGGCTAGCCTGGGCCATGCATTTCCACGATGGCAAATGTTATGCTGGAGTAAACCCTATCAAAGGTGCAGTCAGACTGTTGGGGCTTTATCGGCTTCCTGCTGGAAGTGTTACCTCGACATGTCCCTTTGACTCAAGGGCTTACGAGCAACAGAAATTGGGTGCTTGCTTGATTATTTATGGAATAGGGCGAAACTGTAGGGTGTTATTTCTCCTCTTCAAAAATCTGGAGGAAGCTGCTTGGTCTAGATTCAATTGTGCCTCCAACTTTTCCGTATTGCTGTCTTCTAATGTGGATTCCCGTGTTCTTCGGGCCTCGGGAGAACCTGCCCAAGGCTGTTCGTCAAGAGCTTTTATGGAAGCTGAGAGAGCTTTATAGCATTTGCTTTTCCCAGCTGGGCTAAATGCGGAAAGAGGGTACCAACCAGTGCTCCCTCTAAGCTGTGGAGTCTTGTGAGCAAAAATTATCCTTTGTGAGCTCCTGGCATTAAAGTTGTGAGCAAGTGATGTGGCTGCTGCATAAATTAGTTTGCTCTGGAGCCCCGTCCCTTCCTGGGCTAAGGCAAAAAATGTGTGAGCCGGAGGCTAAAAAACTGTGAGCTAGCTCACACTGACTCAGCTTAGAGGGAACACTGGTACCAACACTGTTCTGTGGGCTTCCCAGCTTTGTTCCTAAGTCTCTGACTCAGAAGGACAAATGGGCACCATCTACCAGGGGCCCTGCAAGATTTATTACAATTCCACAGGGCCTGTAAGATGGAACTCTTCCACCAGGCTCTTTGTGGCCGACCCCACCAGCGGTCTGGACCCTAGCATCTTAAAATCTTCCGCCACTGTTGATATGGTTCTATCAGAGCTGACATGGTACTTAGGAGTATGGCATTTTATACTGTGGTTTTAACTTGGTTTTAACTGTGCTGTATTTTACATTGTTGTTACCCGCCCTGAGCTCTCCTGCAGGGAGGGCGGGATACAAATCCAAATAAATAAATAAATAAATAAAATACCTGTGGCCAGGGCTTTTTTTGTAGAAAAAGCCCAGCAGGAACTCATTAGCATAATAGGCCACACCCAACAGCAGAAACTCATTAGCGTATTAGGCCACACCCCTGACAGCACAGCTCATTAGCACATTAGACCGCACCCCCATGTTACCAGAAGTGTGGTCATCCAGCCACACCCACCTTTTGCTTCTTATTCTGTTTACCTTGTTTGTTGTCAAAACCCAGGGCTTTTTTTGGAGCAGGAACCCTTTGCATGTTAGGCCACACACCCCTAATGTAGCCAATCCTAATGAGTTTCTGCTGTTGGGTGTGGCCTGTTATGCTAATGAGTTCCTGCTGGGCGTGGCCAACTTGGGAGCCAGCCAGAACTCCGTTCCTGTGCGTTCCTGCCCAAAAATAGCCCTGCCTGTAGCACACTCCATTCTCTAGGTCAGTAAGGGGCTCTTTTCTGGAATTGCCCCGACCTGGATGGCCCAGGCTAGTTCAATGTGGTCAGATCGCAGAAGCTACACAGGGTTGGCCTCAGTTAGTACTTTCCCTGACTGGGATGGCCCAGACTAGCCTGATCTCATCACATCTTGGAAGCTAAGCAGGGTCAGCCCCGGTTAGTACTTGGGTGGGAGACCACCGAGGAAGGTTTTTAAGCAGAGGCTAGATGGCCATCTGACAGCAGTGCTGATTCTGTGAACCTGGGCAGATCATGAGAAGGAGGGCAGGAAGGGCTGCATCAGTGCTCAATTCTCGTGGCCCTTTCTTACACGGCCAGGGAAATGCCAATCGCCACTTTGGGGTCAGAAAGCAATTTTTCTCCAGGCCAGTTTTGGCCGGGGATCCTGGAGGTTTTTTGCCATCTTCTGGGCATGGAACAGGGGACATTGGGTGTGTGTGTGTGGGGGGGGGTATTTGTGAATTGTGCAGGGGGTTGGACTAGATGACCTTGGAGGTCCCTTCCATGATTCTAAGTCCAGAGTTGCGATGCAGAGGCAGGCAATGGCAAACCACCTTCGTTCATCTCTTGTTTTGAAAACCTTACGCGACTGTCATACGCAGGGCTCTTTTTGTAGAAAAACCCCAGCAGGAACTCATTAGCATAATAGGCCACACCCAACAGTAGAAACTAATTAGCATATTAGGCCACACCCCTGACAGCACAGCTCATTAGCACATTAGGCCGCACCCCCATGTTACCAGAAGTGTGGTTATCCAGCCACACCCACCTTTTGGCTTGTTATTTTGTTTACCTTGTTTGTTGTCAAAACCCAGGGCCTTTTTTTGTAGCAGGAACTCCTTTGCATGTTAGGCCGCACACCCCTAATGTAGCCAATCCGAATGAGTTTCTGATGTTGGGTGTGGCCTATTATGCTAATGAGTTCCTGCTGGGCGTGGCCAACTCGGGAGCCGGCCAGAACTCCATTCCTGTGCGTTCCTGCCCAAAAACAGCCCTGGTCATACATCAGCTGAGACTTGATGGCACTTCCCACCACCACTTTCTGGAACTGGTTATTGCTGTATGAAGCACGAGGGTGGGGGAGATTGGTAAGGCGCTGTCTGTCCCCTCCTGCATCCCTTATGGCACGTCCCTCTCTGCCTCTTTTCTCCTGACAGCGTTTGGCTGTGGCCCGTGGCTTTGCCGCTGATGAAAGGCATCTCAGTTGTGGAGATAATTGATGGGCCTTTGATGGCCAAGATCAACACCACCTCTGTATTTCTTTCTCTTGGTTTTGCAGAGGTGTAAATTGACAGCTGAGGCTTGGGTTTCCGCAGTCCACGGTTGCAGCACGGAGTAGACAAAAAGCATCAGACTGAAGTGGGTGGTGGCAGCCATTTCCGTAAGGGGATAAGCCCCGTGCCCTGACCAAATGAGATTCACCAAGCTGCCACCATGGAGATCTGGCAAAATAAGAGACCTCCTAGCTTGTAAGGTACATTTGGACCCGTGTCATTCTCAAACCAGCCTGCTCAGATCTCCATGGTAAAGCAGCATATGAAAAAAAAGCCAGGGAAATGCTATATCTCATAGAATATGCAAAAGTTTATGTGAAATAGATGAAAATACAAATATAACAAGAAAGTACGACGATATACAAACAGTACAACAAAGTACAAACAGTGCAACAGGTAGCCAAATAACGAAGGCTCCGGATTCTTCTTTTGGTTTCGTGAATGTCACTTCGTCAGAAGTAAGCATTCTTGACACATAAGGACAACAAGACTGTGTCAAGAATACTTCTGACGAAGTGACATTCACGAAACCAAAAGAAGAATCCGGAGCCTTCGTTATTTGGCTACCTGTTGCACTGTTTGCATTTATATATCGTCGTACTTTATTGTTATATTTGCATTTTCATCTATCTCACGTAAACGTTTGCATATTCTATGAGATATAGCGTTTCCCTGGCTTTTTTTTTCACATGCTGTTTTACCATGGAGATCTGAGCAGGCTGGTTTGAGAATGACACTGGTCCAAATGTCCAAATAAAGGTCTGTGACAAAGAATGATTTTTGTCAAGCTAAACTTGAGTCCAGTACCCCCTAAGAGACCAACAAGATTTTCGGGATTCGCGCTTTGACTCTCAAAAAACCTGTACCCCAAAAATCCTGTTGTTCTGTAAGGGGGCTGCTGGACTCAGATTTAGGTGTTCTACTGCAGGCCGACACAACGACCCCTCTGATCCTGTTTTCATTCCGCGATAGTTTCCTTTTCACCATCCCTCAACTTACCTCGTAGTCACCGTGGTCCCTTGCAAAAAGGCCCCAGTTGGTTTTTTTCTTTTCTTTCTTTCATATTTATTTGATTATTTATCGCATAGGTGTCTTCGCAAGACGTTGATTGGATTTTAATTAACTCTTCGTTTAGATTATAGAAGCCGCCGACAGACGACAAGCGGGGGCAAGCCTGTCTGGAAAGCAGTAAAATCTTGAGCTCGTACTGTTTTCTTTATTAAGCCGTAATGAAATTATTCCGAGCAGAAAGCGTGTTTATTATTTAGCCGCGCGTGAGCCAGGAGCTCTGCTCTGTGCCGCCGCGGCCCCAAGTCTCAGCAGCTGACGGCGGGCATCGCCTTTGTTCTCTCCTCAGGTGTCTCCTCGAAAGGTCACCAAGGGCGTCACGGTGGGCAGCCTCTCGGTGGCCCCGCCATCCTTCCACCTGAACAGTTCCTGCTCGGTGTTGCCTCTGACCAAAATGGATGCTCAGAAAGGTCAGGCCCTGCTGCCCGCTCTGCCCCTTCCCCCCCGCGCTGGGTTTATTTCATTATCCTTTTCTTCTTTTCTTTTTGGCCCCGTACATCATGGTGGACGTGCATAACTGCAGCAAGATTCAGGTCCAGTAGCACCTTGAAGAGCAGCCAGATTTTGAGGGTGCAACAACATTTATTAAAAACAGTCATAAGACCAGCACAATAAACCGAAGTAGTGCAACACAGAGTCTACGACATAGGCTCAGATGTTGAGGGTATAAGATGACCCACGCTAGCCTGGTTTTGTTAGCGCTTGGAAGCTGAGCGGGATCGGCCCTGGGGAGTCATCGGACGGGAGACCAGAGAGGAAGTCCAGGGTTGCTACTCGGAGTAGGAAACGGCAAACCACCTCCACTAGGTGCAGTCTGCGTCTAGCGTTTGCTCCACTGTTTTCCCACACCCACACTGTAACAGGAAAAGATGCGGCTCAGAACCACATTCGGATACCCCGGGCCAATGCTGTACTGACTGCAGAGCAGGCCGGTAGCTACAGTGGGGCAGTCTGGGGCCTGGCTCCCTGACTTCCTGCCAAGGCCCCCTGACTTCCATCCAGCCCCCAGGCCCCCCAGCTGTGTGCGGACTCTTATCTGGGAGAACTGGGTTTGATTCCCCACTCCTCCACATGCAGCTGCTGGTGTGACCTCGGGTCAGTCACAAGTTCTCTCAGAGCTGTTCTATCAGAGCTGTTCTATCACGAGCAGTTCTCGGGAGAGCTCTCTCTGCCCCACCGACCTCCCAGGGTGTCTGTTGTGGGGAGAGGAAGGGAAAGGAGTTTATAAGCCGCTCTGAGACTCCGAGTGAAGGGCGGGGTATAAATCCAACTTCCTCCCCCTCCTCTTCTTCTTCTTATTTTTCTTCTTGCCTTTGAGCCTTTAATAACAGCAGACCTTAGAAGAGATATTGGCAAGATGTCCTGCCAATACTGCCATCCCCTGGGTTTCAGGTTGGGAAGTTCGACCACCCTGACATCCTCAGTAACCTGTCAAATCCGCCTTCTCCCCCCCACCCAGGGATCCTGAGTCTAATCGAAAGGGGCCTGATCCCGCGTGCTGCCAGGATCACTCTCGAGGAGCCTCTCGTTCTACCCAAGCCCGCTCCTCTCCACGAATTTCACACCAAGCACAAGAAACGAACGGCAGGTAGGGCAGGTGATGCGAACGTAATGCGAATGAATGCAGGTAATGCGAACATAAGAACCTTTCGCCGTCACCAGGTCAAATTTGTCAATATCTCCATTTTGGTAATGGTTGTGGTGACGTCTGATTATTGCTTTAATTATGCTTGACAATTGGTGCATGGCTGGATTTATGTATGTAACGTAGGCCTTCATACTGCTCTGGTCTCCCACATCAGGAGACTAAAAAAAAAGTGCCTCCAAAATGAACACAGCAGCAACCTTGGTGTCATGGTTAGGAGTGTGGACTCTAATCTGGGAGAACCGGGTTTGATTCCCCGTTCCTCCACATGCAGCTGCTGGTGTGACTTTGGGTCAGTCACAAGTTCTCTCAGAGCTGTTCTCTCACGAGCAGTCCTTGAAAGAGCTCTCTCGGCCCCGCCTACCTCACAGGGTGTCTGTTGTGGGGAGGGGAAGGAAAAGGAGATTGTAAACCGCTCTCAGACTCCTTCGGGAAGTGAAGGGTGGGGTAGAAATCCAATCTCTTCCTCTTCTTGTAAATGGCTTTGGGTTCCCCTTGGGGGAGAGAAAAGCAGGGCACAGATATCAAAACAAATAAAAATTTATAGCAGACGATGCCGTAGCGGCGCCGTCCTGCTTGTGTCAAAACTGTCCCTCTGAGGCCCGGTGAGAGCTGTAGAGTGAAGCAGGAGAGAACAGCGAAAGAGTCCAGCAGTGCCTTCAAGGCGACCAAAACCGGTGGCAGGGTAGGAGCTTTTGGGAGTCACTGCTCCTTTCTCCAGAATGAGACCCAGCTGTTCCCCTTTGGAGGTCTTGCCTCAATTTTCAGTGAAAACCATTTTTGTGTGTGTGGAAAAGACCTCACATTGTTCTCCTAGGTGGAAGTGCGGAGGGCAAGAAGGCGGAGACGCGCCTGGGCCCTCCCCGGAGCCGCACAAGCAAAGGCAGCAAAGGCACCAAGGGCAGCATCGCCCCGCCCCCCTCCTGCATCTCCGTGGTGTCCCTCCGGAAACCCAAGCTCATCCCGGCCATCCAGACGCGGGAGTCGGCCATTAACCGGGTCTGCAGGGCAAAGGTATGGCGGCGTGACTGGCCTCAATCTCCCTCCTGTACACAGCATGCGTCGCTTTGACCTTTCGCATCGCGCCCCAAATCTCACGTTTCAGGTCGGGGGAGCTTACGGCGCAGCCCTTTGCCGGTCAGCACCGGCATTCCGTAAGCCTTCCCCTCCGTTCATCACGTGCCGGATTGCACTGTTTGTGCCTCCAATCCAGAGCCCCGAACGGACCCCAAGGCGGGAGCTGGGGCTGCCCCCCACTGAGTATGGGGCTCCCTCTGCGGACGGGGGAGCTCCGTGGGTCTTTCAGCTGTCCTATCGTGATCTGGTCATGTTGGCGTTTTTGGGGCACAAGTCGGCAAATATCGATCACCCTGAATCGACCTCTGCAAAGCTCCTTGAGGTGGGGCCTCCTCCTCTTCCTCCGTCTCCCCTGCGGGGGCATCCCATGCTTCGGCAGGGAGGGTGGGGTTTGAATCATTTTTTTAAAAAAATCTTCAGCCTCAGCAAAAATGACTGTGCTGTGTGGGAATACAGCAAACCTCTCCTTTAGTTGTATTAGTTGCCTTTTGCAGAAGTTCCTGGGCCGTAAAGGTAAAGGTTTCCCTTGGTCGAAAGCCAGTGGAATCCAACTCTAGGGGGCGGCAGTGTTCCCTCTAAGCTGAGTCAATGTGAGCTAGCTCACAGTTATTTAGCCTCCGGCTCACACATTTTTATCTTAGCTCAGGAAGGACGGCTCCAGAGCAACCTAATTTATGCAGCAGCCAAATCGCTCGCTCACAACTTTAACGCCAGTAGCTCACAAAGTAGAATTTTTGCTCACAAGAAGCCACAGCTTAGAGGGAGCATTGGGGGGCGGTTCTCATATCCGTTTCCAAGCCGAAGAGCCAGCGCTGTCCAGAGACGTTTCCGTGGTCATGTGACCGGCATGACTAGACGCCGAGGCGCACAGAACGCTGTTCCCTTCCCACCGAAGCGGTACCTGTTTATCTACTTGCAACTCCTTGCTTTCGAACTGCCTGGTTCGGGAGCTCACTCTGTCACGCGGCACTCGGGTCTTGAACTGCCGAACGATAGACCTTCCGGTCTGCAGCTCGGCGTCTTAACCTCTGAGCCACCGCTCCACATCAAAGCAAGGGGCCTGTCGGCCAAACCTCATGCCCTCCTTGGCATTTGCCTCAGGTGGGTCTGCTCCCAGGGGCGGTTCCCTGCCCAGAGTTCTTTAGCCGCTGTTAGGCCCTGAGGCCCCTGTGCCCCCCCACCCCAATTCCCCTACCGGTTTCCCGTTTCGACCGGCCCCC